TGACTTCGTGCAAAGACCGGGGTCCACTTTTTCGAAGGTTGTAATATCCTCCTACAAAATGTGGATGATTGAGCCATCTTCGCCACCACCCCAGATTCATGAGCTACTACTATTTTCACAACCGAGGGTCCAATTTATATCAAATCAAGTCCGTTTCCTACCAAATTTCACAGATTAGACTTAAACGTTATTTTAGAACTGTACCGGGCTCCGGAACCAACATACGGGCCCGATACCATCACATTCAAGCATTATTCAATTTCCAAACTTCCTATATTTTTCAGTTAAACAATTTTCTTCAAAAATTCATTTCTCGGGCTAGGGACCTTGGAATTCAATTCCGGGCATACGCCCAAGTTCCATATTTTTCTACGGACCTCCGGGACCCTCAAATCACGGGTACGGGTCTGTTTACCCAAAATATTGACCGAAGTCAACTTAAATTTAATTTTTTAAAGGCAAAATTAGCATTTTCTCAAATTTTTCACATATGGACTTTCCGGATATACGCCCGGACTGCGCACGCAAATCAGGTGAGACAAAAGGAGGTTTTAAGGCCTCGAAACACAGAATTGACTTTTAAATCAAGTGATGACCTTTTGGGTCATCGCAAAATATAATAGTATATTATATAATATAATACTAAATTATTGCGGTATACAATATAACGTGATAATATAATATTATGGTATATAGTATAATTATGCAACACTATACTATTAAACTTTGTTCCTTTTTAAATTTCTTAAAATTTCCCACTAGCCTCCTTTTTCAATTTTCGAACAGAATTCTTATGCTTTTTCCAAAACTTTTCCTAAATGAAGTGTTTGATGGAGTCTTATGGAGGTATTATTGACTACATCAAAAGGAGATGAAGGAGTACACATAAAACAGTAATATACCTATTTAGTATATTTATATATCGTTTGGGTATATTATTGTCCTAGTAAATCCACTACCCAATGGCTCTTTCTCTCTCTTCTCTCTCTTCAAGTTTCTCTTTCCCCGCTAGTGCTCTCTCCAACCTTCTGATTTTCCGGCGCCGGCAACCCCGGGTAAGTGAGCCTCTCTCTGTCCCCGCTCTTCTCCCTCATTCCTCTCTCCTCCCCCCTCATCTCTCTTCTCCACCCCTTTTCTCTCTTTTCTCCATATCTTCTCCATCTTTTCTCTATTCCATCGCCGGGTTTCTGGCCGGCGACCTCCTAGCGCCCCTCCTCTGTCTTTTTTCTATTATCCTCACTCCCTTCTTCACTCTTACCCCCATAAACTCGTCTCTCTTTCCCTGCTGATCATTTTCCCCAACCCTTCTTGAGCCTAAATTTCAGTTCCGAAACCCTAGCAGCCCCGCCGGCGACCTCTGTCCGGCGACCCCCCTTGTTGTCCCTCCCTTTTTGACTCTGTCTAGGTCCACCCCTGGGACAGGTTGACAGCCCCCCTCCCTATTAGTTTCGTGGTGGTTGTGTGTAATTTTTCAGGGAACTAGTTGCGGCTGCCCAGGCAAGCACGAGGCGTACGGGCGAGTAGAGCGGAGCATCACCGGCTAGTGCGTGCAAAGGTTGGGGGGAGTTGGAAGGACGCACGACAGATTTCTGTGACCTCGGGTGCATCAAGTCATATTTCCAGGTTCTTGCCATCGGGAGTTGGTACCTCCCGCTTTCTTGTTTCTTTCTTTATGTTAGTTAAATTGTGACTATTTAATTAACATCACTTTAAGCATATTATTAGAGCACTTGTAGTTGCTACCTGTTATCTTCTAGTTTGGGTCTGTGTTAGTGTTTTCCGGAGTTTGTCGTAGGTATAGTGGTTGTGGTCTAGGATGGTAAAGTAGGGTCATGTCCTCGAGGGGTGCCAGGGGTGAGAAGGGGGGTAAGGAGGGGGTCAGTGGATGGGACGAGAAACAAGGAGGGTAAGGGGAAAGAGGGAGCTTATAGATTGAGGATCGGGTCGTGGAACATAGGCACGCTGACGGGTAAGTCTATTGAGCTGGCAAAGATTCTCCAGAAGATGAAGGTTAATATAGCTTGTGTCCAGGAGACTAGGTGGGCAGGGTCGAAGGCGAGGAATGCGGACGGGTATAAGTTATGGTACTCTGGAGTCGTGAGGGGTAAGAATGGAGTAGGTATCTTGGTGGATAGGGATCTTAGAGAGTCTGTGGTTGAGGTTAGGAGAGTGAATGATAGGCTAATGTTTATTAAGTTGGTGATTGGTGAGTGCACCCTCAATGTTGTTAGCGCTTACGCGCCGCAAGCGGGCTTGGATGAGGAGGTTAAGAGGCGCTTTTGGGAGGGTTTGGATGAGATTGTGCGCAGTATTCCACCTACTGAAAGGTTATTTATTAGAGGGGATTTTAATGGCCATATTGGGTCAGCTGCTGGTAGTTATGGCGAGGTGCATGGTGGCTTTGGATTTGGGGATAGGAACGGAGGAGGTACTTCGCTGCTAGACTTCGCCAAGGCTTTCGAGCTGGTGATTGTGAACTCGACTTTTTCGAAGAGGGAGGAGCATCTGGTTACTTTCCAAAGTTCGGCGGTGAAGACTCAGATTGATTTCCTTCTCCTCAGAAGGTGTGATAGAGGATTGTGCAAGGATTGCAAGGTTATTCCGGGAGAGACCCTCGCGACTCAGCATAGGCTCTTAGTGATGGACGTCGGTATTATGATGAAGAGGAAAAAGAGGTATGCTCGTGGCCGACCGAGGATTAGATGGGGAGCTTTAATCAAGGATAAATCCTAGGAGTTGGATGGGAGGTTATCCGCTATGGGAGCTTGGAGGAGTAGTGGAGACGCGAGCACTATGTGGTCAACGACCGCGAACTATGTGAGGGAGGCGGCAAGAGAGGTGCTAGGGATATCGAAGGGTTAGTCTGGCAAGCACCAAGGCGACTCGTGGTGGAAAGACGTAGTCCAAGGTAAAGTGGAGGCAAAGAAGGTAGCTTACGCGAAGTTGGCAGGGAGCACAAGCGAGGAGGAGAGGAGAGCGAATAGAGAGGTACAAGGTGGCAAGGAAGGAGGCAAAGCTGGCGGTCACGGAGGCTAAGAATGCAGTGTTTGGCCGCCTATACGAGGAATTGGAGGAGAAAGGCGGGGACAAAAAGTTGTTTCGGGTGGCTAAAGCGAGGGAGAGGAAGGCCCGGGATTTGGACCAAGTAAGGTGCATCAAAGACGAGGATGGTAGAGTATTGATGGGAGAGTCCCAGATTAAGCAGAGATGGCAAACGTACTTCTATGGTCTTCTAAGCGAGGAGAGGGACCGGGATATAGCGCTAGGGGACTTGGGGCATTCGGAGAGTCTTCGAGATTTTAGGTATTGCAGGCGCNACCCCATGTAATGGTAAGTGCCGAGGCTAACCTCGACGAGGTAGTGACGAGGCTAGGACGGGGCAATTACAATATAACCCGCATACAGTATATAATAAAGCTAATGAAATTTCAGTTGAGTTTTGGAAGTGTGTGGGTAGAGCAGGATTGGAGTGGCTGACTGGGTTGTTCAGTGTAATTTTTAGGACGAAGAGGATACCGGAGGAGTGGAGGTCGAGTATAGTGGTACCGTTGTACAATAACAAAGGTGATATCCAGTGTTATAACAATTATAGGGGTATCAAGTTACTTAGCCATACCATGAAAGTCTGGGAGAGGGTGGTGGATATGAGGGTGAGGAAGACGACGTCTGTATCCGACAATCAGTTTGGGTTCATGTCGGGTCGCTCCACTACGGAAGCTATCCACCTTATTAGGAGGTTGGTGGAACATTACAGGGATAAGAAGAAGGATCTGCACATGATATTTATTGACTTGGAGAAAGCATATGACAAGGTCCCTAGGGAGGTGCTCTGGAGATGTCTTGAGGCAAAGGGCGTGCCGGTGGCCTACATAAGAGCGATCAAGGACATTTATGATGGAGCTAAGATTAAGGTTAGGACTGTGGGAGGCGACTCGGAGCATTTCCCGGTTGTTATGGGATTACACCAAGGCTCTGCGCTTAGCCCGTTCTTATTTGCCTTGGTGATGGATGCATTGACACACCATATTCAAGGGGATGTGCCATGGTGTATGTTATTTTCTGATGACATAGTTCTAATTGATGAGAGAAGGGTCGGTGTTAACGAGAGATTGGAGGTTTGGAGACAGACCCTCGAGTCTAAGGGTTTCAAATTGAGCAGGTCTAAGACAGAGTACCTGGAGTGCAAGTTTAGTGCTGAGTCGAGGGAAGTAGGCAGGGACGTGAGGCTTGGAACACAGGTTATCCCAAGAGAGATAGCTTCAAGTATCTTGGGTCGATGATTCAGGGGGACGGAGAGATCGACGAGGACGTCACTCATCGTATAAGGGCGGGCTGGATGAAATGGAGGCTTGCATCTGGAGTCTTGTGTAATAAGAAAGTGCCACCGATAATCAAAGGTAAGTTTTATAGAGCTGTGGTTAGACCGGCCATATTGTATGGGGCAGAGTGTTGGCCGATTAAGAACTCCCATGTCCAGAGAATGAAGGTAGCAGAGATGAGGATGCTGAGGTGGATGTGCGGGCACACTAGGATAGACAAGATTAGGAATGAAGACATTCGGAAGAAGGTGGGCGTGGCCCCTGTGGATGACAAGATGCGGGAAGCGAGGCTCAGATGGTTCGGGCATGTGCGGAGGAGAAGCCTTGATGCTCCGGTGAGGAGGTGCAAGCGGCTGGCCGTGGTGGGTACGAGAAGAGGTAGAGGGAGGCCTAAGAAGTATTGGGGAGAGGTGATCAGGCAGGACATGGTACGACTGCAGATTTTCGAGGACATGGCCCTTGATGGGAAGGTCTGGAGGTCAAGCATTAGGGTTGTAGCTTAGGGGGTAGTAGAGCTTTCCTTACTTCATACAGGGGGTGAGGCGGGGTTGGATTAGGGTTGATCTTAGATGGCTTGCAGTTTATGTTGAATCCACACTATTCTTGCTGTTTATCTTAGCCCTGGGCCTTAGTTACTGGTTACTGTTATTGCATGTCATTTATCTTTTGGCTGTTATGCTTCTGTTACTATTACGATTTCTTCTGGAGTTACTAATGAATTGTCTTTTCTTATTTTTTTTATTTCCGTCTTTATGAGCCGAGGGTCTATCGGAAACAGCCTCTCTGTCCTATCGGGGTAGGGGTAAGGTCTGCGTACATATTACTCTCCCCAGACCCCACTTTGTGGGATTTTACTGGGTAGTTGTTGTTGTTGTTGTTGTATACTATTGTCTTTGACACTAATATGTTATTTTATTATACCGATATTCCATTTTTCATATTAATATATTATTTTGGTATACATTTGCTAGAAACATTTACAGTATACGTATGTAAAAATAAGATAAAAAATGAAAGAAAAAAGAAAAAGAGAACAAAAATATAATGTGTATATAAAAAGAAAAAGAAAAAAAAGAAAATCGAAAAGAAACGATCCAAAAGAGTGAATGGAACAAGATTATGGAGAAAATAAATAAATAAAAAATTAATTTGAAAAAAAAAATAAGTGAAATTAGAAGAAAAGGAGAAAAGAAAAAAAGAATACAAAAGACGGAAGATCAATTTAATGGCATGCTATGAAAACGGTATGACGGGTAAATAGGTTAAAATGGGTAAAACCGGGTAAATTATTTGGGATGTGTAGGTATTAGTGAATTTATCCCAATTTGATTTTGTCATGCGCATATGTGTTTTGTAATTTTGATTGTATATTGTATGAAAAAAAAAAAAATAACCGCTCTATTTTTTGCATTTATCCTTTTTGTTTTCTTTATCTTTTTCTCTTTAGTTTTTGCTTTCATTTACCTATTGTAAGCAATTGAGTTATTCATGAAGACAAATTTCACTAATGATAATTCTTAATTTATCTTTCTTTCTTTTGTGATATGCAGATGCAGATCGAAGCATAGTTCAATAGAATGAACAACTATGAATAATATTTGCGGAGCTTTAATGATACATTAAATTAAACTACAAAAGTCCGGAATAACACTTTTTGTCATCTGATTTTACCCATCACTACTATATAATTAAACGAACTAAAATTAAAACGTAATAATTTAATTATCTATGAGAAAACACAACTTTTCCAAAAAATTAAAATTGTTGGAGCATTTGACTAATCACGCCTCACGACCAGTTATCATTATTCTAATCCCAAAATGCTATCTTATTGATTCACCACAGTCCTCTACTGGTAAAGGAGAACTACATTACATATTCACATTAAGGAGAACTACATAGTCCACTTCTCAGTTTTTCGTTTTTTGTGGTGGGGTGGGGTGGGGTGAAGGGGTAGTAGGGTGGGTGGTAACGAAAAAATTGAAATTTGGAAAAAAAAAAAAAAAACCTTTTTTGGAGATGGGGTGGGGTGGGTTGGTGAGGGTGGGGAAGGTTGAGAAGGAGTTTTGGAAAATGTTTTCCCAATTGGAGAAAATGAGTTCATAAGGAAAATGTTTTCCAAAACATTTAAGCCAACCAAACATGGGAAAATTGGAAAACATTTTCCGGAAAATATTTTCCTTCATACGAAACACACCATTTCCTTATACAAAATAATTAATTATCTCTCTTCATTTATGCCTGTGATTTTGGTTCCAAAAGAAGACAATAATCGTCTCAAACTTGAATTTAAAAGAAAGAGGTGAATTACCAAAAGAACTAAAAGTCCCTTTTGGCCATATTCCTTTGAAATAAATTAAAAAAGTTCCGTTGCCGGGAATCGAACCCGGGTCTCCTGGGTGAAAGCCAGATATCCTAACCGCTGGACGACAACGGATCATTATTCATAACAGCGTTTCTATTACAAATGTAGGCTAAAGCAATTGCTGAATCTCCAGTATATTAGCAACCAAGTCAGAGTGGCTGGTCTCTTTTCATATTCAAAAAAGGAAGGCGCCTCTTTAAAGCAAGTCACCTAGGTTTTTAAAAAAAAATTTTAGTTTTGTAAAGCGGAATTCTCCTGATACTCCTATAGGCTATAATTAGGGGTGTCAATGGTTCGGTACGGACGGTTATTTAATAAAATTTGTACCATACCAATTTTTCGGTTATTCTATTATGTATAACCAAAATTAGACTTTTCGAAACCATCCCAATCATGTCGGTTTCACTTCGCTATCGGTGCGATTCGGTTAATTTTCGGTATTTTTTTAAATATCATGTAAAATTCACCAGTAGAAGTAGAATGCAATAACATATGTTCTTTTACAGGACTTACCAAAACTTTCTAGATATTTTTATTTTAAAGGGTGATGAATTAAAAAAACATGAAATATGGCTAGAGTATAGGTCCATCAACTATTCGACAGCAACGTAAAAGAAACTAAGTAAAAGCAAAGAAAATATAAATCACACGAGTGGAAAGATATTAACCAAGTTGGGACTCAAGAATAAAGTTTATATTAAATATTCAAAAAGATAAATCTAAATTGTATGAAAGGAAACATATTCAATAAATTGTAGTTTTCTACTCATAATCGATAGAACACTTTCTGTCTTGCTCTAATAAAGATACTTGAAATAACTTAGTTTAAGTATAAGTAGCATAATAGATTTTAGGAATTAGTATTTTGAGTTTAATTACTTGTTGGATTGTAACAGTTTTCATAAATCCAATTAAAAATTTAATGCTTTATTCGTATTAAACTTACTATATAAATAAATTTTTCACATAAAATTTATTCGGTACGGTTCGGTATTTTTTCGATTATTTTTATAAAATAAAAAACATGCCCTAATAATCGGTATGGTTAT